TCGACTTCCTGTGGGCCGGTCTGTGCATCTGCGGAGCGGTCTATTTCATTTTCCGAGGGAACACGCCAGGGTAGTTTTGTGTCTGTTGTTCCGAAAGGAAATGCGATGGACTTGCCAGCGGCTATTTTGAAAACGTATCCACCGTCGAAGGATCGCTTGCTCGAGCAAGTGAACCCCGCTATCGACAACGCCATGCTGCGAGAGATCGCCATGGCGGATAACGGGTACAAGTGGGAAGCAATGTACGAAATGCTGCGGTTGATTCGTGATCGCAAGCAGTTTCCGCAGCCGATCGATTTTGACTTGCGAGAAGTACTAAGCCTCACGCGTTGGAGCGATCCGGATGCTCCAAATCAGCCACCATTCTCGCCAGGTCCTTCCGGAATAACGGGCCATTGGATTCGCTTTTACGCATGTGCTTTGCTTTTCTTCGATCATGAAGATCCTTGCGATAGCTACGATTCAAGTCTGGCGATCGCATTGGGTAGTTCTCGTTGGCTCGGAGAAGATGTTAACGTCGCCTTGCTACGTTTCTTAACCCATCGGTACGACGAATGGGACTACGTTCACCAACAGTCCTACACGCTGCTAGGGATTTTGATGCTCTTGCTGCGTTATCCAGGCGAGAAGGTGAAGGAAGGTGACTTGGAAGCCTTGGCCGATCAATTACTGGACAGGGATAAAACTCAGGTTGATTTTGACTGGAACGATCTACGCCCCGATGCTCTCAGCATTCAGCAAGGCTTCTGGAAGCCAACGATTGCGGAACTGACGCAGCAGTCTGAAAAGGTGGGCTCGGAACGGTTGAAAGAGAAGCTATTGTTGTGCTCGCTGATCGTTTCCGGCGGTTAGATTTCGTCTCTAAGAACGTGATTCCGCGCTAATTGCAACGTATGATAAAGAGAGACAAATCCCCAATCGATAAGTGAGAGCGGCCATGAATACCAACACTTACCATCATTGGAAGTTTACCCTCGTCGGCGGCGGCGTGACGGCGATCGGGCTCTTCCTGCTGTCGGCGTCCTACCTCAATAGCGATCCTGAAGGAGGTAGCGGCACGATGAATTCGGCCGGGGTGGCAACATTGGTGCTGGGCTTGGGGATCTTTGCGTATGGGGTTTGGAGCTATCTCCGGCATCAACCGGAAGAACACTAAACCGACGCGACCGATTTAAGTCGAGCCGCTTTCGCTTCCTGCCGTTCGGCTTGTCGCTTGGCGATGTGTTCGAGATCGTCTCGCGGCGTCGCATTGATTAGCTTGCGGGTGTACTCTTCTTTCGGATCAGCATAGATCGCTTCGGCAGGACCGAACTCGACAATCTTGCCGGCATTCATCACGGCCATCATGTCGGCCATGAACTTCACGACGCTCAAGTCGNNACGTCAGGCCACGTTTCTCTTGAAGGTCCTTCAGCAGGTTCAAGACTTGAGCTTGAACGGAAACGTCGAGAGCGGAGACCGATTCGTCGCAGACGAGAAAGTCTGGCTCGACGGCAAGTGCTCGGGCAATACAGATACGTTGCCGCTGACCACCGGAGAACTCGTGTGGGTACCGACGAAGATGGTCAGGGTTCATGCCCACTTCTGTCATGAGCTGAGCCGCTCGATCTCGCTGGTCTTTTTTGCTTCCGCCGATGCTCTGAATGACCATGGGTTCACAGATGGCGGCTTCGATGGTCATCCGCGGATTCAAGCTTCCGTAGGGATCTTGGAAGATGATCTGAATCCGCTTTCGCATCTCGCGAAGTGCGTAA